AATGTGAATGAAAGAAGAAGGAAAATGAGTGCGCTTTGCTCTTTCATTTGCTCTTTCGTTGGGAATTTCGTGGTAATCTTTTGTGAATTTTCGCATTAAAACGGCGTGGATTTTAATTTTCTACTTCTACTGGTGAACCACTGGTATTCGGATGGTCTGAAATGTAAAAAAAAATACACGGTTTTAACTGGATTTGATCTGTATGAGATTTTATGGTTAGACTGTTGGATGAGTTTTGGCTTTTGTTCGACGGTTGGTGGCACTTTTTTGCTGTGTGTGTCGTCTTGCGAACGGCAGTAGATCAAAAACGAATTATAGAGTCAATGTTTGAAGTCATGTAACAGAAATTGTCATCGTCGCGAATGTCGAAACATAGCGCACGCAATAGCATCAGCAACATCAGCAGCATTCAATTCAATAGCCCAATGCAACGAATGCGGCGCGCAATCGGAACATTAGTGACCTTACTTATCCGCTTGTGCGATAGTGAGTTGGTTTTGGTGTTTGTTTGCGTGCATTTTTTTTTTGTTTTCATCACCGCCGCTGCACGACTACGATGACGACGATTTGTGCCAACGTTTTTCTACTTGATTACCATTCTTCTTTTTTTTCTGCCATTGTGTAGTCATAGTGATGGAGTCATGTGTTAGGTATGTATATGTGAAGCTAATGAATAATTATGAGAGGATATGTGGAGATACGCGGCAAAAACAACAACAGCAACAGCAGCAGTTGCAGTAGTAGCAATAGCGACAACAAAAAAGGAATCATTTATTATGTCTTTCGCATTCAGTGAAATATTGTCATCGCTTGAAGCCGACCATGCATCTCCACTCACTCGCGCACATTCAGTCGCTATCTTTGGCTGGCTCGCCGCGTTTTTCATACAGGCAATTTCATTCAAGTCATTTAAATTACGTTTGTTTAGTAGAAATAGCGAAACAAGTGAGTTTCATTGTTGTTTTTTTTCTGCCCATGTGTGTATGTATGTAAGCCTCAGTCATGCTTTCGGCTATTTTACTTTCTTGAAATTATCAATATGCATTTCTTGCGCTCTTTTTTCCGCATCATACTCGCATACTTTCATTTGCACACAACATTTGTTCATTTTCCCGTTCTTCCATCATATTTTTTTGTTGCCATTTTCTATTTAATATTCATCGTAAAATTAAAAAAAAACTCACACAGAGAGAGATAGAGAACAAAGATCGTGCATAACAACAAATAATGTGAACGCTACTCTTGATCTAGAAAGGTTTCACAGGTTCTTATCACATTCAATGGGAAAGTTACTTTTACTCAGAAACTTAACGGCCGTTCACATAAACTGGCGAGAGACTGAGTTAGATAGGATGAGAGAATTGCCGGAACAAAAATCTGCTGACCTATAAAACAAGGCCAACACAAAATCTGTAACACACAAAGTGAAACGGGATAAAATGAGACGAAGAAACAAAAAAGCCAAAAAAGAAAAAAAAGCACCACACAGAAATGATATTGAATAATTGTTCGATTCAAACTTTTAATCCAGTCTTCTTTCCTTTTTTCGATTTTCTTCTCGCTCTTTTTCATTTTTACACTCAGCTCTTTTTTCTTCTCCTTTTTTTTTTTGATAAATGACTTGAAGTAAATTTTTCGTGATTAATTATAACCATTGTATGCTTATAGTATAGCATCATTTGCTTTGTCCAAGCCGCAAGGATTAAAAATCTCCTCCCATGTGGCCAAACAACTTGATCAGGATTGGGGCGAAAAGAAAAATCCCATTTAACTAACAGCCAGTGCAGAGATTCATCGGTGCTCAAGAGGGAAGTCGAGTACCAAAAAGAAATAATAACAAATAATTAAATTATAACGAATTCCACCGGATAATATGCATAAGAATGTCAGACAAATGACAAACGAAAAGAATAAGAAGAAACCACTTTTTCACATTCACTTAAAAACCTCTTTGACACACCATACACCACCGTCCAATGCAATGCAATGCATATTGCAATTTTTGTGTGGCTATTTTGCATTCCTTCATAGATCCATAGAATGTGCTCATACAGCGATAGCAATGCAATCACAGCACTTGGTTTTTGCTCCGTTTTAATAAAGATTCTCATGCATTTTCAACCGAGGTGTGTGTGTCTGTGTGTTCTTTTTGGCCGTCGGAAATGTTGTGTGCGAGAAATCTGTTTGCAACATTCACCGTAAAATTTTCAGCTGGGGTTTTTTAAAGATGTTGATAGAGGAACGGCACGGTCGCAAAAAGCGTTCGATGTAAACGGAAGCATTAACGCGTTTAACGATAGAAGTGCAATGGGAGAGAATACCAAAAGAATGGATGATAACAGCGTGAAAATATTCCGAACGAATAAGAGACCAAAACCGAGACCAAGAATGAAAATGAGCGAGAGCAACATCAAGACTCGAAGAGCGGCGGAAATGAGCGAAGCGGAAGCGAAACTAGAGAAACACACATAAAATGGCACAGTGACGACAAGAAAGAGAATGAGAGTGAGAGAGAGAGAGAGAGAGAGAGAGAGAGAGAAAAGTGCACGTGATTGCTAAAGATTATTGCAGACTCATAATCGGGTGGAACGGAGCAAAAATCGACTGAGAACGACACTTTTTCGACATCATTTACTGTAGCGCACAACCATTTCCGTGTGATAGTTTTGGACATGACGGCGGTGACACTGAACTATCCATTTCGGTGTGTTCGAACCGACATGTTTACTCTTGATTAAGCGCTACATATCAAAACGCACCAACACCAAAGACACACAAAGTTCATGCAAAGTTTCGATTTTCCGTACGAACTGAATAACATTTGAACCAATAAATTTCCGGATTTTACCAGGTTGTTTGCGTTTCTCTCTTTTTTCGTGTGGAATAAATTTGTTTAATGTGCCTGCTCGCGAATGCGTCAGATGAAAATTGTGCTTCGTGCGCTTCACTAGGTAACCGTGGATAACACAAGCTGCATTTGGAGCTAGTTGCTTTTACTCAAATCGACGCTTGTCATTTCAGTTGAGCATACATTTTACTTTTCCGTACACAACGTGTCAAGGGAAAGTATAGGAATTGGTCCCGAAAACTTTTTCCGAAAAATTAGCTTAGATCATAATAACAACTCATGAAATGCGTAGAAAACCACTTTTTGAGACACTTTTCCGTTCGTGTGCCGTCGTCGTCGTTGTCGTCGTAGCTGTTTGTTAACACGATAACTCAAAAAATAATTGAGATAATCGAAATCTGGAAATTCCAAAAGTTTTGTATTCGAAAAACTTAGTTTAAGTTCGAAGATGAGCCATTTTCGATTTGATCCTGGGGTACTTGCCCTAAGAAAAACCTCAAAAAATTGACACTTTTGTATGGGAGGTACCTGTAAATCGACTCCGATTGGCTTCAAATTTTCTGGAATTTCATTTTTTGTGAGAAAAATAAGATTCTGGAAATTTGAAGCTAATCATAATCGATTAACGGGTACCTCTTATACAAAATTTTTGAAATTTTGACTAAAATTACCGATTACCCGTTAATCGATTCTGATTGGCTTCAAACTTTCTGAGGTTTCATTTTTTGGAGAAAAAAGAGATTCTGAAAGTTTCATGTTGATCGCATTTGCAGAAGTTTGATTCTTTGTCCTCAATTTTTGTCGAAATTTTCTTGGAAAAAATTGAGGGCCAAAAACCAAACTTCTGCAAATGCGATCAACATGAAACTTTCAGAATCTTACTTTTTCTCCAAAAAATGAAACCTTTAAAAGTTTGAAGCCAATAGGAATCGGTTTACGGGTACCCCTCATCGGTGTTTTTTTGACGAGGCTATTTGAATATGAAAATGTTTACATCTTCTCGGTATGTACAAAACACACTCCGTTCCAAAGTCGTTTCAAAGTTAAAAAATAACCACGGATGGATGGTTCTCCAGAGAAGATGTAAACATTTTCATATTCAAATAGCCTCGTCAAAAAAACACCACTCATCATTTCAAGAGTGAAAAATATTTACTTAAATTTTCAATTCAATTGCGTTGTTTTTCAGACCATAATGAAGGTGATGAAGGAATAAATGGAAACATCTGATATTTTCAATGCGATCGATTTGATGTGGAACGCCAAATTAAACACACGTGCACAGGTGGAATTGTAATTCCATCAATTGTTTTGACATTGTTTTTTTTTTGAAAAATGTGTGCGATAATATTTTGTGGAGTTTAATTAGAATCGACATTGGTGAAACGCGAAATTTAACACACGTGCACAGGTGGAATTATAATTCCATCAGTTGTTTTGACATTGTTATTTTGAAAAATGTGTGCGATAATATTTTGTGGACTTTAATTAGAATCGTCATTGTACATGGATTGAATTATACAGTGTGTTGCCCACCGACGTGGCCAAACTTGAAAAGTATATAAGAGGATGCATTCGATTCGTATGTCCATCAAACAGTTCCTACCAATTGATAAGTTCACAGTAAACTTTTAATAGTTCGAAGCTAGAAAAATGCTGAGTCGAAGTTCTTTAACACTGCTGCTCATTGGCTTGGTGGTATCCGAGGTGAGTCGACAATTTCATTCCATTTTTTTTTTTTAATTTTTTATGTTTGATTCCTTTTGTGGACAATTTGTGATAATTTTTTCTGAAATAATTTAAAAAATGAAAAGTGTCCTTTTTTAAGTTTTTCAATTGAAAACAAACTTCTTTTCCAAAAAAATGTCCACCGGAAACATTTATTCTATTAAAAACAGTTGGAAACTGTTATTAATACATTTATAATTAATCTCATCCGCTGTTCCCATTCCAATTGTATCACTTTGATTCTATTTCCACAGTTCTTATTCGGGGATGTGAGTGGAGCACCAGGGAGGAACGGTAAGATTGAAGTTTCATTTATTTATCCAGTTAAACTCTTAAATTCCATATACAAAGCACCTTGTAACGAAGATATGGCAACCTCATTTATGCTAAACTTTTTATACATATTTTAGTAAACGAAAAAGACATGGATGGAGAAACAGCTCTGCATAGAGCTGCTTTGAATGGTAATTGTGGACATATTTTTTAAAAGAACATTTTGTTCAATCCGTTTCATTGATCTATGAATATTTTTCATATTCTTTCAGGCGACGAGAAGGAAGCTCAAAACCTCATCGTTTTAGGAGCCGACCCTAATATTCGAAATAATTTTAATGTGACACCTCTGGATCATGCTGCTTCGAAAGGTAACGTTGAATACTTATTGTTATTGAATAAAAGATTGACCTGATTTTTTCCCATCGATCGGTGTTATTGTTCAGGTCACACGAGTATCGCCGAACTTCTCATCTACGCTGGAGCCAATGTTGATGCTGAATCTAATGTGAAATGGACACCTCTTCATTCAGCATGCATGTGTGGTAATGTTGATTATTTGTTCTCACTAAAAAGGGAAACAGTTTTATTTTTTCATCGATCTGTGTTATTTTTCAGGTCATGAGAATGTTGCTGAACTTCTCATCCGTAAAGGAGCCAATGTTCATAAGGAAACTGATATGAAAAACACACCTCTTCATTTAGCTGCTCAGAATGGTAATAGTTGAATACTTGTCTTTACCAAAAGAAGATTGATTTGATCTTTTTCATCCATCTAAATTACTTTTTAGGTCTCAAGAGTGTCGTTGAACTTCTCAGACGTAAAGGAGCAAATGTTAATGCTGAAAATAGTTCGAATCAGACTCCTCGTCAATTAGCTATCAACAATGGTAAAGCTGACTAAATAAGATATTTATTTGATCTTTTTCATTGATCTGTATTATTTTTAGGTCACAAGGAGGTCGCCAAACTTTTAATAAGTAAAAAAAAATAAAATTAATACTGCAGAACAATTGGAATAGATTGGCTACTAATAATGGTAATGTTGCATATTTTTTTCACAATATAAGAAATTGGTTTGATCTTTTTGATCGATGTGTATTTTTCAGGTGACGAATAGCTGAACCAATTTAGCTGAATAATCGGATGATTTCCTTCGGTTCCCCTTTTCGATTGTACTGTAGAATTAATTTCAAAACATTTTTTTTGTCAATCTATGGCCAATTGGCCATACCAACCAATATTGTTGCTTTGTTGGACCATCGATTATTATTCTGTCAAAAAACAGCTCAAGTTCTTTGTCTTTTTAATTGCTTACATTGCATTTTTGTGACCCTAACTTACATCCGTGCTAAATTTGAACGCGATTTGTATGAGTCTAATGCCGTAGGCAAAATCCAAGAATGAAAATAAATTATACAGAGAGGATGATAAAAAATAATCTAAATTTCAATCTGGTTTGAACAGTGTTGGTTGCTCTTGTTCACTTTCGAGTGAAAGAAGAATTTGGTTCACTCTAGAGTATAGAGTCTACGCGGATGGGCTCAATTTTTCTTGATACGGCGTCAGACGTCAATGCAGAAAGAACTCTTTTTCTTGATTATAATCTACTGAAGATTTATGCACGTCATTTAGTGCAAAAGCATTCATTGCCCTACCTTACGCGAGCACCATCTCTTCGGTTTTAACATGAAAACAAACAAATTGATCCATACAGAGTTATAACACAATGACATCTCTATGTAGAGGAAACGATGTAGTTCGTTTTGTTCGGCACATTTTCTATACACTGCCTTTATTCCCACCGATTCATATATCGGTTGGCAGGTGGAGTCACTTTGCTTGTTTTCATGTTCGCACCGAATAGATGGGACGTTCCCGTTAGGAAGGGCAATAAATGATTTTGCACTAAAGGTATGATGCACGTAAAGGGATAATTGCATGCAAAATCCCACTTCATATATATAGAGCACCAACTTCACCCCATTTCATTTTCTAGCCAATATGTGTACAAATTTCGATAAACTCAATTGTTGGTCTTGTCAAACTGTACAACTTTGCAAAAGACAATAATAGTTAATCAGTTGAAATAACTGAAATATTAGAAGATTTGCTCACTGCTTGAACACCTACTCTAACCTACTCACACAAATACAAATACTTTTTTACTTTTCCGGTCACAACGTGTCAAGGGAAAGTATAGGAATTGGTCTCGAAAACTTTTTTTTCGCAAAATTAGCTTAGATCATCATAAAAACTCATGAAACGCGTAGAAAACCACTTTTTGAGACACTTTTCCGTTCGTGTGCCGTCGTCGTCGTCGTTGTCGTTGTCGTTGTCGTTGTCGTTGTCGTCGTAGCTGTTTGTTAACACGATAACTCAAAGAATAATTGAGATAATCAAAATTTGGAAATGCCAAAAGTTTTGTATTCGAAAAACTTAGTTTAAGTTCGAAGATGAGCCATTTTCGATTCGACCCTGGGGTACTTGCCCCAAGAAAAACCTCAAAAAATTGACACTTTTGTATGGGAGGTACCTGTAAATCGACTCCGATTGGCTTCAAACTTGCTGGGATTTCATTTTTTGGGAAAAAAATAAGATTCTGAAAGTTTCATGTTGATCGCATTTGCAGAAGTTTGATTCTTTGTCCTCAATTTTTGTCGAAATTTTCTTGGAAAAAATTGAGGGCCAAAAACCAAACTTCTGCAAATGCGATCAAGATAAAACTTTCAGAATCTTATTTTTTCTCCAAAAAATGAAACCTTAGAAAGTTTGAAGCCAATAGGAATCGGTTTACGGGTACCTCTCATACAAAATTGTCGAAGTTTTAGTTAAAGTGACCAATTTTTCACTTTATTTTCATTATTATATTTTCACTGCCTTTATTTCAAGAAAATTCACAAAAAATAACCAAAAGTACCTACGTATTACCAATGTAATTCTTTTTATTAATACAATATTTTGCATTTGACTATTGAATAAGATGCAGGCAAGTTCGAAATATTCAATTGTAGCAATAATATCCATATTCGGTTCATAAAATAAACTAAACTCAGCTTACCTACATCAGTTACATGTACATTCGAAATGAACTGAAGTTTTCACTTGAATTTTAAAAAAATCATCAAAATCTAAATGTTCAACTTTTTGAATTTTATTGTTATTTACGCATAAATTTTATTATTTACAAATAAAACCGTTTCGTAAAATTGAGAAACGTCGCAGATCATTGCAAGCGATGACAATTTTGCATTATAAATGTGTACTATGAAGAATCTCCATTGAAAAGTATCATCACATTCATTGAATTCAGCCGTAAAGTTCCTATGATGCAAATGATTCAATGTCAATTTGGATGCCTTCGAACCCATCAGCAATTCCAATTACCAAAATCTGAAGTAGATTCATTTCGATAGATATAAATCAGGGATCCCGGAAATGCCGTTCCTTAGAGTTATTCACTTCAAGACGTCCAATTACGTCCTTTGCAAGATAAAAGCCCATTTGATGCAAGCAAAATCAATTAAAAAGGCACTTTTAGCTATTGCATTTAAATGTATCTAAACCTTGGTTGGAAATATCCAGAAAATTTCCATTTTTTTCTTCAAGTTGATTACAAAATTTCAAATAAATTTGTTTGATATCCAAGCTCACAAATTTATCATAATAAAATCGTGCAGCATGGGCTACAGTACGAATCATATTACAACACGAGCTGTGAGTGTAGATAGTTGGTTTTACTCAAATCGACAGTTTTCCTTTCACTCGAGCATAAAGTTAGATTTAAAAGATATGTTGCTGTTAGTTCAAGAAGAATTGCGAAAAGAAATGGTATATTTTCTAAATTTCAACAGGGAAAAAATATAGCATAAATTTGCTGGATACATCTGTCGTTCCGAACGACTCTTTCGACCCGATTCACAAATTGTCACGTACGTTGGAAATACGTAGATGCCATCTATTTTGTTCAGCAAAGAATTTTCAATGAAAAATTGCCTCCAATTAAACGAATCTAAACTTTGTAGACCATTCAAAGAAGCATGCGTACGATTACGGTATATCCAAGGCACATTCGAAATCTCCAAAATCTTAAAACTATCTCATCATGTATAGTATAAGTAAATGGCTTTGAATGCCGAGGCGAGAAATTATAATTACATATTTCTCAAATATGGACTTGTATGTAATGTTATCTAGAATGAATTTTTCACAAAAACAAACACCTCATATTCTGTGCTAATAAATTCTGCAATATCATTGCGATGCGGTGATGAGTTTCACGTTTTTACTTTTCCGCACACGAAGTGTGAAGGAGAAGTATAGCGATCGTCGTGAAAATTTTAAATTTTCGTTGTAAACACGATAACTTACAAAATAGTAGAGCGATTTTGCTTAAATTTGGCCAGGAGGTAGCTTACGTAAATATCTTGGATGTATCAGAAGTTGGACCTAATTGGGCCAGTCCATCTGGTACTTTTGCTACATCATAGATTTTCATCCAAGGGTCCCCCCCTGGATTTTTTCGGGAAAAAATTTCTTTTTTCACCACAAAAAATGCATTTTTTGGTTATTTCGTAGTCTTCTTTGCGATTTTTTCGTGGTAAACCGCGTTAAACGATGTTTTACCACGATGGCCGACCATGATGGTCTGTTTTTAATTACTTTTTTCACTTCAAAATGCATTTTATGGCTATTGCTGGCTGTTTTTTATATGGTGAGCCGTGTTAAATGGTGTTCTCACCACGATGGACGATTTTGATGTCCTTTTTACTGTTTCGAAAAACGCACGAAAATTCCTTGTAAACACGATGACTTTCGAATCTCCTGAGCGATTTTGTTTAAATTTTGCAACGAGGTGTCTTATATAAATATCTTGAATGTATCAGAAGTTGGACCGAATCGGACCAGTCTATCTGGTACTTTTGGTATATGGTCAATTCTACGGACCTGTAACGTTACCAGTGGACTGTATATGTTTAAATCTCCGCTATTATGAAAGATATAAAAAAACTGTCGAGGTATAAAATGTAGCTGAACATGAGTACGATCATTCGCAAATAATAAACTCGTGAGTTGTTTTTATTTGTTTGGAGATATGGGCAAATTAGTTGAGTGGTTCAAAATTCGTACGTTTTCATACATTTTTTTGTCATCTCTCAACTTGAACGCTCATATTTCTACATAAATCAAAGAAATTCACTATTTTTCTATTTGCGAATAATAAAACACATCTAGAGCTACTTTTTATGCTTGATAGTTTTTTGATATTTTCTATGCTAGTGGAGTTATGAGAAAATGCAGTGCACTGGTAACGTTACTTGTACGCCGTAGAATTGACCATATAATGAAATTTCACCCAAGGGTCCCCCCTTGGATTTTTCGATCGAAAAAAAAAAAATTCTATAATTTTTTTTTTACTGTTTTTACACGATTTTCTCATGGTAAGTGATGTTAAATGGTGTTATAACACGATGGTCGACCACGATGGACTTCATACCATTTTTACATAGTATAGTCAATATGGGTATCATATGAAAGGTCTTGGAACGAAGATGAACATAAATACCATCCGGGTCCTTCAAGGTTATGGTAACATCACTTAACTGCATTTTTTTATATGAATAATTGAAATGTCTGTCATAGAGTTTTAGAATGGAAATGGAAGTGGACATGGACACTATATCTATCTATCATGTTCAAGTTAACACTATTTTTCATCATTCGATGGCCGAGCATCATAACTTTTCGCCCATTTTAACAAAC